ACTGAAAATGTATAAGCTCTGTCTGTCCTTTTAAACAGTTACTCGAGATACTGTGTGGTCATATTCCTTATACATATATGTGTGACACACACATACACACTCACACATTTAACACATACATACTTTTAGACCTCAGCTGTTCAAAACCATCAAGGGAAGAATTGCAAAGAGCCTTGTTTCTCAATTCAAAATTCTATTCGGCCATTTTCAAGGCAAGCCTTGCATTGCATACGTTGCTATTTGGGGAGCTGAGAATAATGAGGGGTTCGTTGATTCATTATTTGTACAGGTCACGACCAGGATCGTTTCAGGGATGTGTAGCACTGTTGAGTATCCAGTGTGAAGTGTATGAGAGAGTGAATGGTGGGGGAGAGCGGATACGCTGCTTTAGGTGGATCATAGAAGGTCTCCCAGAGGAAGGAGCTTTTTTTTTAAATTTGACTGTGCCAGGCCTTAGTTGGGGCATGTGACATCTAGTTCCCTGACCAGGGATGGAACCCAGCCCCCTGCACAGGGAGCATGCAGTCTTAGCCTCTGGACCACCAGGGAGGTCCCAGGAGGGGGCTGTTAACCCGAAGCCTGGGTGAACAGAAAGAGCCCTCACCTGAAGAACTTAGGGAGGAGAGTTCCAGACAGACAGATCAGCTGGTAGAGATGCCCCGAGTGGAGGGGACCAGGCGTGGCTGGATTCCTGTGCATCTTCAAGAGCACCTGTTGTTCGCACTCTGTTGTGACCCAGGGATGCCCCTCGGCCCAGAGGGGTACGAAAGGCTCCCCATCCTACCCCAAATGACCCCTTGACTCTTAAAGAATTCTTTTTCACTCTCACACCCAGGTTGTAGACTCCTTCTGAGCCCTCAGGTTGCTAGCTTCTGTGGTATGGTTTCTCCAGCAGCCTCTCGCTAGCTTGCCAACAGCCTGTACCTTCTCTCTGTTCAGATGCCCACACTTGCTAGGACTGTGCATGAAATAAGCTGTCTCCATATAAATATGAGAAGTACTTTTCGAGGTTAATGCCCCTGCTCTTCAGTAATGCAGAGAAGGCGGGGCTGCTGTATTGCAGAATTCTTAGATGGGGAAGGTATTATTGTGTTATTAGAGATCAGCCTGTTCTCGATTCCTGCCTTGGCTCATTTACCCTTCTCCCCTCTTCCTCTCTCCTCCTTTCACAGACACATCCACTTTTTCGAGTTGTTCACCTTCAGATGCACACTTGGAATGCAGGCACGTATTTTAACATACTTTTAATGGGTTGAGAGAGAGGATAGTTATGAAGCCCATTCATCCGCCTCTTTTCTCTCCGCCTTATTTAGTTTTACACACAGGACATTTTAAAAGATGTCACCGCCGAGTGTCGCTCATCTGGCAGTCGAGGGGATGGCGCTCTCTAGCACATTTAGACATGTGTTATTTCTGGAAGGAGCCTTGTTTGATTGAAGGACAGCATTTCCTGGCTCTCTTCAACATGGAGCTCTTAAAAGTGCATTTTACTTGGCTGCCTATTGCCAGTGGCCAAATAGGAGAGTGTAAAAAGAGAAGTGTCACCTAGATGTAATGGTGGCTGTGGATGTGATTAATAACCTTTAAAAGTAAGTACATGAACTTTACATCCTATTAGTTTATAGACAGGTTGGTAAGAATCCAACATAAATTTCTGAGACTTTCCCTCCTGCAGAAAGGAAGCAGATAACTGGCCTCATAAAATGTTATGGCTAAAATCTTCCCCAGCCCCTTGCTTATTGGGAGTCATTAACTCTATGCGTGGACATTAAAGTCCACTCATTAATTTCTCTATGAGTAGAAGCATTCTTCAGTGGTTATCACTCCCTGAAGCTAAGCCAGTAGTGTATTTTCTGCCATAAGGAGATCTTTATTCCTTCTCTAAAGTTACTAAAAAATCAGGAGAAACATGAGCATGCCATCTACAGTGGGTTTTTAGGTGGCTTGTTTGAAAAAGCATCAGCTGGTTTTTCTCTTACCTGATATGTGACACCTGGCAAGCTGTTTGACTTCTCCAAAATAAAGCAGGCGCTTTCATCAGGAAAAAAAGATGGCAGTAATAATGTATATAAGGGCTTCCCTGGTGGCTCAGCGGTAAAGAATCGGCCTGCAATGCAGGAGCCGCAGGAGACCCGGGTTCTATCCTTGGGTCAGAAAGATCCCCTGGAGGACGACTTGGCAACCCACTCCAGTATTCTGGCTTGAAAAATCCCATGGTTGGAGGAGCCTGGTGAGTTACAATTCTGAGGGTTGCAAAGAGTCGGACACGACTGAAATGACCTAGCGTGCATGGTCAATATGTATATAAAAAAATAAATGGTGGCTATTATTAGAATTATTTTTTAAAATATCCTTACCACAAAAGCAGTTCATCAAAGGATAAACCCTTTGGATCCCATCTCTTAAAATGAGTGCTTATTTGCACTTATTTTCGTTACTGTCTTCCCTCCCGCTCTTACCAGCAACCTAACTATCTTAACTCAGGTTTGCCTCTGCAAACTGGTGGACATTTCCCCGCTCAAGATGAGACTGCTTTCTGTTTCAGTTCCTCAGGGGAAATCATTGGAATGCAGAACTGGTTAGTGATTGGGGGTGGCGTTTTACTGTGAAGACCTGGATTCAAATCCCTCCTCTGCCACCTGGGCAAGTTACACCTTCTAACCTCTGGTTACTCATCTATAAAATGAATCCAGTACTAGCACTTACTTCAGAGAGTTTTTGTAAGAATTGAGTGGAATAACCTGTGTAAACCTCAGCCCCTTTTTGACTAAACATTTATTAAAATGTTGTCTTCCCTCTTTAAAGTACAAATCTCAAATCTTTGAAATAACTCAAGCTTCGTCTCTTCTCTGAAACAGTATTGTGAAACACACTTTTGTAAAGTGTGATGTGCAGTGTTCCTGGTGTTAAATGAGATGATTTGAGGTAGTAAACAGGTAAGCATTTTGTGTAGTTAGAGATACTTTGTAATTTTTAGGGTATCGCCTATTAATGGTGAGTGATCCAGCTCTTTACAGTGTCCATGTATTTTTTAAAAAGAAGATATGAATGGGGGAAAAAAAAGGAATGGATTTAAGGAATAACATTGATTTTAAAAAAGAGTACCAAAAAAGGGAATACAGGTGGGATGTGGAGGTGGGGAAGTAAGTGATGGGTGGGGCAGAAATAGCGTTTGAACTGCAGTCTGATTTTTATCCCAGCATCCCATTAGATTTGGGATTCAAGAGCCATTCGTGTGAAATGTGACTTTCAGCACTTTCTGACTCTATGACTTTGGCCAAGTTAATATTTTTCTCCCTTCATCCCTTCTTACAAATATTTATTAACGGCCTATCACATTTCCTTATCTGAAAAACACAGATGCCGCTTTTTTCTTCTTGAAGATGCTACACAGAGAGTCTTATCTGTTGGGGGTGTTTTCTCTACCAAGCTTACATCTGGTGTAGTAAGCACGCAGTAAACTTTAGTTCTTGTGTTGTTTAGGACTCGTGGTTGCAAGTGACAGTCCCAACTTCAGCTGGCTGAGGACTGAAGGGAGTTTATTGTCTCGTGTCCTCAGTCTGCAGGAAGGTTAGCGGTGACGCAGCCTTGAGGACAGCTGGACTCGAGGTCTGCCTGCTCCACCTCTTGGTTCTGGTGCCTCGTCCCTGTTAGCATCATCCTGTCTGGCCCGATTCTTCCGCCACAAAAGCCCTGGTGGACCCCAGGCTTGCGTCGTCAGAAAGGGACTGAATGCTATGATCCCTGTTCCCAAGCCCAGAAATCCTAGGCGGGACTGAGCCCGGCGTACACCGTGTTCACCCAGAGAGCAGGAGCCAGAGGAAAGCAGCAGGGGCCCTTGAGCCCCATGTTCAGAGCAGCAGGAAAACCCGTTTTGCAGAAAGGGAGTAGTAGGTGCCTGCTCCCGTCACCTTGTGCCTTCCTGCAGTGAGGAAGGTCTTACCCTCTGTGGGCCTCACTTCACTCATCTGGTGTCTTCAGGTTTAGCTGATGTGATAGGCGTGAGTGCACATTTAATGTTCTTAAACTTTATACAAATGAGTTTATTACGATGGTTGCTGTTGCTCCTGCCCTCCACATCTTCACATAACCAGCCAGGGGTTCCCAGCTTGTGACTGGATCCCAGATCCTTGGGAGAGCAGAGAGGGGCTTGTTCTAAGAAGTTTAAGTCAGCGTGCCATGAGTGTTACCTTACACTGACTTGCTTTTGAAGTGTAATACACACATAGAAAAGAGTACACATCCTATGTGCATGATGTGATGAATTTTCAAATGAAACACAATTGTGTATCCAGCACTTGGGTTAAGAATCAGGAGTGACAGTCCCCCAGTATACCCCACCCCCACCCCTCTGGTAACACAGGTAGATGGCTGGAGATGTGTTGATTCATCACGTAAGAAATCGTGTAAGCATTACCAGCATCATGGTAGAGCTTTCCATATTGTGATTTTTAAGTGGAATTTTTGAAATATCAGCATTATGTCATCAAAAAATTTTTTAACACTGAAAGTAATCCTCAAGTTAAAAGTTCGAGAAGCACTTTGGGGCCACTCTTATTTGTTACACCCTCTTAAATGTTTTCTTTCCGGCTGAAGTTACCATTTGGCGATGTGCTTTGTCCGCTGGGAACATGTCACTTGTTTGCCTTTCTCCCTTCCCAGTTATAAGCTCTCCAAGTGAAGGAATCAAATCTTAAGATTTATTAGGTGTTTTCTATTTTCCTTCCTGTGCATAATGTAGCACAGTTACCAACTGACCACGAAGTTGTCCATTTCACCCAATGTTGAGCCTTGTGGAATAACTGCATTAATCCCAAAACTGCTCAAATCCTGGGCAAATCTTATCTCTGAAACGGTTCACTGTTAGATAAATGTGCCAGTTTTCTGTTGCTGCAGTGCTTAGCCCAACAAATGCAGTTATGAATGAGTTTTTCTTTTTCTTTTCTTTTTCAAACTTACCAAGTTTTCCAACATTTTCTCTCTCCGTTTTTCTCTTTTAGGCTCTAGACCAAGATAGAACAGCCTTACAGAAAGTTAAGAAGTCTGTAAAAGCAATATATAATTCTGGTCAAGGTAAGTACTTACAAACATGGACAGCACCAATTATATGTATTTGTGTATATATAGTCTTGGACTTCCCTGATGGCTCAGATGGTAAAGAATCTGCCTGCAATGCAGGAGACTCGAGTTTTTCTTTTGTTAGGTGCTAAGTTTATGAAAGACTTGGCTACAAATGGAAAACCAAGTAAGTCAAAGAAATTCAGTTCTTCTGTCAGTCCAAGCCTGTTATTGCTTTCCAAGAAAAAACATTAATTGCAGTGCTAAGTTGCTTCAGTCATGTCCGACTCTTTGCAACCCTATGCACTGTAGCCTGCCAGGCGCCTGTCCATGGGATTCTCCAGGCAAGGATAGATACTGCAGTGGATTGCCATGCCCTCCTCCAGAGATCCTCCTGATCCAGGAATAGAACCCGTGTCTCTTATGTCTCCTGCATTGTCAGGCGGGTTCTTTACCACTAGCACCACCTGGGAAGCCCATTAATCGCAGTAGATTTTATTATATGTTGAAAAACTTAGTAAAATTATAGGTAATATTGCCACAAGTGACATGTAACATGTCTTTGTGTGATTGGTCAGGCTGTAATTCGGTGGCCTCAGTTAAATGAAAATCTTTTCTATCTGAAGCGAACTTGTACACATTTGGAAATCAATATTGGTGATGGGGTTCCCAGGTGGCTCAGTGGTAAACAATCCGCTTGCAATACTGGAGATTTGGGTGCAGCCCCTGGGTCGGGAAGATCCCCTGGAAAAGGAAATGGCAGCCCCCTCCAGTATTCTTGCCTGGGCAATCCCATGGGCAGAGGAGCCTGGTGGGCTGCACAATCCATGGGGTCGCAAAGAGTCAGACACGAATTAGTGACTGAACACCACCACCACCAGCTGGTGACAGACGTGGGGTGAAAGTTAGAGGGGGTGTGGGGTACAAGGCCAAGTGGACACCTGGACACAACCTGCCACCTCGAGTCTTTGCTTGTGGCTCAGGGCAGGCCAGGTAACCTGTGTCAGCAAATGGACTTCCCTTGTGGCTCAGCTGGTAAAGAATCCGCCTGCAGTGTGGGAGACCTGGATTCGATCCCTGGGTTGGGAATATTCCCTGGAGAAGGGAAAGGCTACCCACTCCTATATTCTGGCCTGGAGAATTCCATGGACTGTATAGTCCATGGGGTCTCAAAGAGTTGGACACAACTGAGCAACTTTCACTTTTTTATGGGCTTCCCTTGTAGCTTAGTTGGTAAAGAATCTGCAGTGCAGGAGACCTGGGTTCGATCTCTGGGTTGGGAAGATAACCTGGAGAAGGGAAAGGATACCCACTCTGGTATCCTTGCCTGTAAAATCTCATAGACAGGGGGAGCCTTGTGGGCTGCAATCCATGGGGTCGCAAAGGGTTGGGCACGACTGAGCGACTAACACTTACTTTACTTACTTGGTCAGAGACTTTGTCACCTTGTAGAGTAAAGTATGTTGTCTGTGGGTAAGAAGAAACAAACTGAATAAAAATAAACAGTAGGTGTCCACATGAAACAGTGGGTCCCACCCCGGGGCGGGTAGGGGAGAGGCTTGGAAACATAAAAGGAGTTTCCAGGTCTGTGACTCACATCTTTTGTTACTGTTACTGCAGTCATCAGCTGGCTTTCCCAGAGGTCATGTCTCTAAGTCAGTTGTCTGTAACAGAAGAGAACCTCTGGCAGGGGAAGGCAGCAGGGTGTATGGACAGGGCAGGGCTCTAAAGTTGGGTGGGGTTGGGTTTGCATCCTTGCACTAACCCTAACCGGCCTCGTGACCTCCAGGTGCTTCACTTTTTGAACCTCCATCATCTTCTCTGTAAAGCGGGGAAGGTACTATTACAGGACTGTTGAAGGGATTTAAGTAGTTCACATCTGTAAAAGGTCTACCACTTCCTGGGAGTTTAGTTAAGTATGATACATTCATATTTTATTCGTTTTATATTTTATTTAAATTTATGCTCCCTATTTTGGTAAAATCATGGGGCTGAAAGGAACGTGGAACCAGGCAGAGCTCAGCCCTCAGGTACTTCCTGGTCCTCCTCACCTTATCAGAGCTGAGAATCAGTCCCTTTCACCCTTAAAGCCCCAAGCCTAGGGCACTCTATAATCATAATTAACAGATTTGTACCCTGGTTTCTTGAGACCCATCTCTAATATCTTTATGTCCAATAAAACGCTAACTTCTAATTAAAGTAGCTAAATGATATTTGTCCAATTATCTAGTGACCAAATGGTACCTTTAGTCTTGGCCTAGATTATACACATAATTTGTAACTTCTCTCTTAGCTCCTTCTAATGAACTCCCATGAGGTGGTAGGCCCTTTACAGATATTAGCTCTTTGGTGGAGGATGGGATAAATAATGAGGAGGTTGCCCAAGGGGCTTCTGAGGTGCTGGCATTGTTCTCTTTCTTGATTTGGAGTGTATTATTGGGTTGGCCAATAAGGTCATTTGGGTTTTTCTATAAGAAACTATGGATTGGTTAATTGAATCCATAGTTAAGTCTACTTTTTGATAATTCATGAAATGCTCATTTAGGATATATGTACTTTTCTACATATATGTGTGTGTATTATGCTTTATATACAAGTAGATTCATTGAAGCATTGACTATGATTTGAAAAAACAGAAAATAAATGGAGGTTTGTTGGACAGTAGCATATCTATTGAGTATATAATAGAATATGAGACAAACTTTATAAAAAAACAATCTAGGTGTAACGTAGATCTAAGTTTGAATTATAGCTTTATTCCTGCTTGTCAAAGTCAAGTAAATTATTTAACTTCCATGAGTTTTAAATTAGCTCACCATAAAATGAGAAAATAGCATCTAATTAACAGAGTCTTGTACGGACAAAATGAGGGAATATTTAAGGTACCCAACATGCTGCCTGCCGTGTAGTGCCTGGCTAACACACAGTAGGTGAGGGAAAATGACAGGTAGGTCAGGAGCGTGGATGCCTTCTCTGTATTAATTCAGCCTTCCTACCAGTAATGTGGAACCAGGATGACTTCATAACGAATGTAAGGAGCTGTTGTCTGCCTCAGGAATGCACGTTAGTTCTCCGTGATGTTGACTCATAAAGGGAGACCTCTGATTTACATCTGAGGTGCTGCCATGCCATTTCTGTGCTGAGGGCTCCGTGCGAGTCTTTCCTTCCCGAGAGTCCTCACCCCCGACGCCTCGCCTCGTTTCGCACAAGGACCCCGCCATTCCGCGGCTCACACAGAGGCTTCTGTGCTTGGTCGCAGCCGCCCCGGGCACGGCGGCAGGAGAGATCGTCCTGTGTGTGTGGGAGGTGTAGGGTTGCGGGGTGAGCGCAGAGTCTGATTCCTGCTTCCCCTGCCCAGCGATGCTCTCCTGTGGGTGTGACCACAGCTCACTGAGCTTTGAGTCCTGTCACCTGGATTCGAGGCTGTCGTGTGTCCTCTGCCCTAGGTTTGCCCTGGCTAATAGGGCTCCCGGACACACGTAACTTTTTCAATTTAAATTAAAATGCAGTTCAGTTCAGGCCCTCCTTGTCAGTAGCCATGCTGAGTCCTCAGTAGTCACGTGTGACGCAGCTACGATATTAGATGGTGCAGAGACAAGGCACCTCCATCATCCCCGGAAGAACATACCTCACACTGTGTGGTAACTGTCGGCCAGTCTTTTGAGCTTTAGACCAGTGAGTGTCAATCCTGCCTTTTCATTAAAATCATCTGAAGAAGGGTTTCCCCCTAGGGGCTCAGTGGTAAAGACTCGGCCTGCCAGTGCAGGAGACACGAGTTCCATCCCTGGTCTGGGAAGATCCCACATGCCACAGAGCAGCTAAGCCCGTGCGCCACAGAGCAGCTAAGCCCGTGCACCACAGCTCCTGGGGCCATGCGCTGCAGCTGCTGAAGTCCCGTGCCCTGCAACAAAAGAGCTGGCTCAGTGAGAAGCTGGCGCACTGCAAGGAGCCCCCGCTTGCCAAGACTAGAGCAAGCCCTTGTGCAGCATCAAAGACCCAGTGCAGCCAAAAATAAATAATTTTTAAAAAGATCACCTGAACAACTCTTTTAAAACACAAAAGCAGAGATTCCCATAGGTCCACCCTCCAAGAGTTGTTCCAAAGTAGGGGCCAAGTATTAGGCTTACAGCAGTATTACGCCCCAGATGATTCTAAATACAACTAGAATTGAGAACTGCATCGGTGGCCTGGGAACTCCTTGTTGGCAGGCCGGTATTGTGTCTTTCATCTTTGTATTTTGTGAATTTGCCAACATAGTTTATTAGCTTATCAAATATTTATTGGGCCCCTATTATATGCTACTGTTTGGGATGTTGGGTATATTAGATAAGTCAGACAGAATCTCTGCCTTGATGATAATTTGACAGTCCAGTAGGGGAGAGAGAGATGTTAATATCAGATCATCAAGCTGGAAAGTACTTAGAAACTGGCAAGTACTAAAGGAAAGCTTGCAGGATACAAAAAGGGAACCTGATGTCTTTCGAAGAGGGTGCTTGGGGAATACCTCTGGAGGACTTGGCATGCACTGGGTGCTCATGCCATACTAAGTGAAGCCCAGCAAGCCTTTGAGGTAGGTCTCCTGTTATCTCCGTTTTATAGATGACGGAGCTGAAGTGTGAAGGGCCACACCGTCTTGTCCAGGAGGCCACAGCTGGCAAGGACTGGGAAGGGAGCCTAGCTGGCTCCCGCGTGGCTGTTCGCAGCCACTGTACGTGTGTCGCCGACCTGACGCTTGGCAGGCACTCAGCAAGCACGGGATGAGTGGCTGCTTATCAGCCGGATGGGGCCCAGGAAACGCTCTCGTCAGTGGCCATTAAATATTCACTGATCATGAATATTCATGAGTGAATCCATCAAATGTAACCTTGCAGCAGTGTAACCCATGGGGTGACTTTGGTGCCTCTCAGATAGGGGCCACAATAGCAGTTATCATCATCCCTGTGGCCTGGAAATGTGGGGATAAAAGATCTCGCCCACGGCAGGGGCCTGATAGGGTTTCGGCAGTCACCAATGAT